AGTTTATATACTTCTTTTCCAAACTTACTTAGACCGAGAATCAGGAGCATTTAGTTTTACAGGTAATAGTAAATGGATACTTTAACCCATTCATAGTATCAATTTCGAAACGTAACAATTATTGTTTTAAATATGTATTTTATATATGTAAAAATTTGGTTTTTTTCACACTTATTTCACTAAGTTTTTATCAACAAAGAATTGGACCAGAGATTGACTATGTAAGTTATTTCTTTTATATAGAGGAGTGAACACCTAATTTTTAATTAAGAGTATTCATTATTAATTATATATTTTATGTAGTCTGAAATTTGATTTTTTCGCCACTTAGATTTTAGTTCCTTGAGCATTGATTCCAATTGCATGTGTTTAATTATGGGAGTTACCATTTTGACTGTAGTTTGTCGAATGTTCAATCCAACTTTTCATTAGTTTAACGCTTTTAATAATCTTGTAAAGTCATGAATAAGGTTTGAAAGGAACTTCGAAGCTGAATCTGAACTGTAATACGGTTTTCTACAAAACCAGCAACTATTAGTGGCATTAGGTCCTGGAGGTTCAGCGTTCAAATACCGCCTATCACCAATGAACTTTATGTTTGTGATAAGCCGTGGCCTTGCGGTTTTGCGTGCGTGTTATTATAAGCTTAGGCCTATAAATAAGCTGTAGATTCAAATAAAAAACTAAAAGGGATTGATATCTCATGTGTAGTGATTTTCCTCTCTCTGTCCTGAAAAACGTAATCCACTGAAACTATTCTGTACTAAACAACTGTTACAACCTAAGGGAAAATTCCGTTAAATATTCCCTACTTTAAGGTTCTAACGAGTAACTATAAATAAAAACCTGTTTTATTCTCTTTTAACAAAACTGAATATTCTTTAATTTTTGTCTTAACATCACAAAACATTGTTTACAAGTCAGAACATAAATCAACTATATGATCATATTATGGTAATTACAAAAAGTGTTTAATAAAACAAAAGTCTTTAAAATGGTGGGTAATGAAACCAAAAGTCTTTACAATTTAATTTCCTAACAACAACAATTAACTTGAGTTATACAAACACAACATACCTTTTGTTTTTAAGATTTATTCTAAAACCTCAATTCAGCATAATTCTGTGTGGTTTTAACCTCTTCTGAGCTCCTCACCAATCCTCACACGCTCTTCTCTCACTGTTTTTTTCTCTTTCATACTCTCTGCCCCGGGCACGTTTCGGAACTCATTTACACCTTTGTTCTCCTACAATTGCACAATCATGTAGAATCCTGTTACCGTAGCGATTCCATCAATGTTGGGTTTCAAACTAGTTGTTGTGTTTGTGCTTCGAAACGGGACAAAGGTACTGAAGTAAATATAGTAATGTGGGTCTCTAAATCGACCTTAAACAATTAACGTACACTTACCATGCAGATTATTCAGGCAAATTATAATGTAAACAGCTATAATTGGAAACAAAGGTTAAATAAGGAAAAGGTAAGCAAACAAACTATAAATAGTTAAAGATGTAACAGCTGAGCCATGTTCAATATTTATTTAATTGAGGTTCATGCACTTAGAGGGATTATCGAAATACTGATATTTTCCGTGAAGGTTTCACATTAAGGCCATTCATTCAAGTATACGGTTGATAGGTGTGCGGCTTATGTCTTTCTCAAAATTTAAAATCCATCCTAGCTTTATCTATAAATGTAGATTTGGTATCTTCGTACTTTAACTTATCTTAAATCTTAGTATTGCATGTGAGTATAAACACAAGTCATTAGATTTATACTTTTTGGTCGTTTATGTTATTTTAACAGTAATTGGAAGTTAATTTTAATTTTCTTACATAAATGCAGTTACTCCATCCATTGGCAAAGTGTAAATTATCTGAATGGTAAACACGTTACTGATCTATTTTACATTTGATCAGTAACGTTTTCACCATTCAGATAATATATATGTATATATATGTATATGGTCCTGTGTTTATAGAAAATATCATTTTTTTCTTCTATACTGATTGAACAGTTTAAAGTGATATCTCCAGAAAACAATTACCAAAACTCTTACAAAACCGAATCACAATAAAAACATCAATCTGCTACCAGCTGTCATTATAGTAGTTATCGCAACGATCGCGTAAAGATAAACGAGTAGAAATTTAAGGTACGAGACTTGGTGAGTGCATTAAAAACTTCTACGAGTGTCGTTAAGACTATTTACGCGAGCTGCATACACTACTTTACCTACGACCATTTTTATAAATATGAACAATCACTACTCCTAACTTCTAAGAGATGTCATGTTTTCATTTATAACCTCTAATTGCCATTGACAGTGATGCAACGACTCATTGTACCAACCACTAATTAACAATTAAATTGGTCTTAACAGCTGATTAGTTGAAGTTTAAAACATTACAATTTTACTTCTTTTCTCTTAATCCTTGAATCTCATTGGTACGTTACTCGAGTTGTTATGTAAAACAATGCTGTTAAGTGAATATGTTCAATCCTAAGAACTAAACTGAAACGGCTAGTTTAAAAAACGGTCGTAGGTAAAAGTGATTAACAGCTTCAATTGTATTGTAAATTAATATTTTGGCAAATGAATGAAAAGAATATTTTTACATCTGTAACCACAAATGCCATTAAGGCTTGAATTCATCAGTGTCAATGCATTTTCCAGCATGAAACTCCATGCACAGTTATGTTTGTAGCAATTATACCACGATCGACATTTGTGGTCTACAGTTCTGTGGTGTGATCGTTATCCCAGCCACTAGTGCCTCATCTACGTTCCCTATAATAACAATGGTTAGTATTTCTGTTGTTGGTACTTGATGAAGTTTCCTTTTTTCTACGCCAGTGGCATTTTGGTTAAATTCAACATGAAAATAAACGCTTTTAAGGGACGTTTTTTAAGTTTTGTGGTTGTACCGGGAATTGAACCCATCCCTCCCGCATCGAAGTCCGAGACGTTAACCACTAGACTAGCAACACAACCATTTTGACTTTAAATTTACCTTTACCGAGTTGTTTAAGTTGTTATAGCTTTTCAGTTTTTCGATTTGAGACACATAGTGCAAAAATTGGTGCATACAATATAACTTAAAGGTTTTTTTTATTTTATCATTCACTTTTTTATATGAAGCTCATAAAATGTTGCACCCAGAAACAATGGAGAAACAGCCTATAATAGGGTATATACTACTAAAACAAGGGAAACCAATATGAGGTTCTTTCATTACATTTTTCATTTTATCACTAAGTAAGCTAAGAAAGAAAACTATTTATTTTAAATGAACCATAATGGATGAATAATAACTACTTGTATCAAACAACAATCAATTATTGACATACTCTGATAAGATCCAGTGTTTTATTTGTAACCTGTTCGTCTTCTTAGATAGTAAATACATTATATACTAAGTGATTTCAAAAGCAGCGCATGTCCAAGTAACAACATAGTTAGGATCTGAGCTCAAAATACGAAGCAATACCATTTCGTAGGCTCAAACCATTCGTCTTTCCATTTTTGTATGAATCTAAATATTTCATAGTGAGAGAAGTATCTTCTACAGATTTTCGCTAGAACCAGCATAGAACCCGTCATTGCCTGAAAGAAAATTAAGATGACATTGTATCAAAGCTATTATGAAATGTCTAAAATTTAAAGTTCTATTACTTTAACAAATATGCAAGTATTCACATTTGGTAGATTGAGTTTAATCATTGTCTATGGAAATTTGAAATATTATCAGGAAACATAGAAATAATAATAGATATGTAGCTCGTTTCTTAACCCATACTAACCTTTTAATTCTTTATAGAGCTTAAGTCGTGATAAGATTAATAAAATGTATCTACAAACAATTTTTCTGGAACTATTGTTGGTAAACTTTTTTAACACGTTGGGTGCTGATGACGGGAATTCCCGCAATTGCTTAACATTGAAATAAATGCAACTTTTATGTTCAAACATGTCGACAGCACAAATAGTGTTAACCTAACCAAAAATGAATAAGTTATTTCTATTTTAATAGCAATCTTAACTCCATATTTTTAGTGGAATAATTGGTTGTTAGAATTAAGTGTTTCGCTGTGTTTATAGGTCCAACATTTTTATAAATAAGAAAACTGGGGCCGTGTTCAATGCAAATTTTTACACTATCGGAATATTCTGTAAAATTTTTACCACCATATCAGCAGACAATAACATCGACAGTTCTATAGTTTGTAAAAATGTCAGTTAAGACAAAAATTGTTCAGATGTATAACGATCCTGTGTAACAACGAGATTGCTACGAAAGTAAAATAGCATTTAAATTCATTTTTATCTGAATTCAAACAAATACTCACAAAGTATTTAACATATCGGTCGGTGTAGTCTCTGTCATATGTGTAGTCTGTTTTTGGCAATCCCGTGTCATGTTTGTGTGGATCTTTATTTTCATCGTCTGTGTTCCAATCTAGGGGCTTTTGGCACAGTTTTCTTTTAAAATAAGCATACAAGAGACCCATATGCTGAGACACGACACAAACTTCAACTATTCTAGGCTAACTGCCGAACTACGAAGCTACAACTGAGTACAAGTTGAAAATGTTTTGATAATGAACGTGATACACAGACCTTCATTATAGAAGGTTATTTTAGATGTACATTATTATAGAAAATATCATTTTATGCAATTAAAATGAAATAGAATATATTACTGTTGGTTCTCTTTATTGATTGTCATTAACAGTATTACCATTTGATTAACTTATTCATTGAAGTGAATATTAATTTATTTGTAACGATCTTTTAGTAGTTTATTCTGAGAAAACAATGCTGTTCTTAAAAGTGGTTAATTGGCTTTGTAATGTAGAATTTAGTACGTAACAAAAAATAATTGTATGAATAACATTTGACTTATAAAAATAAATTAAACATTTTTTATATTATAAAGTTTTTATTTTATGGTTTAAAATATTCGTTTTTGTTATCTCATTGAATGTAGTACCGATAACATTTGATAATAATTCACTTATTTATTTTATTTATGATAAGAGAAGCTTGTACGCATAATTATGGCTTCAAAATGGGTGGATAAACTTGTGAGTATTGTTTTTTATTCATTATTTTATTTGAAGTAAAATATCAAAAATTTTTTAACTTTTTTTAATATATTTTTTTTATAAAAATCTGATGCGGAATTTAAGTTTCAGATGTGGTTTTTACACATAGTATACTTAATAGCCTAAAAAAGTTTGTATTTGAAGTCAATTATAAGGGATTTTGATTTGACGTTCAAAGAAGTAATAGACCCAAAAATAGTCATAAAGGAGGCACAACTTTGACTAAAAATACATTTAATTTCAATATTTTTAAGAATTTTAATGAATAAAGTCTTTGATTTCTATGGGTACGAGTATAAACAAAACAAGGTCCCAGGACTGAGCTACTAAGCCTACAATAATTACTCTCCTATAAGGAAATGTACTTACACCCTTAGCCATTAACATTTTGATGGGAATTATAATAATATACTCGTATATTTAGGTGGACAGTAATAGACATTTAAAACATCAATCCATTGTATTTATCCTTGTTTGGTTAAGTATAAAGAAATGATTACACTTTTTTAAGGTTCAGGATTAAATTTCACCTCAAAAATACAGATTAATACATATATTGTTAACAACATATAGGAGGTCAAAAAGGTTGATACATCCATAAATTACATGTTATTGATAATTTCTATATTACACAAATATTGTATTCAAAACAAATAGCGTCGCAGAAGCAAACACATTGAAATATTTAGTGAATAATTCAAATCAGCAACAAACTATATTTGTGTAAAGGTACAGTTATTGATTTTTCTAATGATAAAAAAGTATTACTGGTCACACATCGAAAAGTCATTTAAACCACAATATAGTCACAGAAGAAAGTCCTGAAGTTTATGTTTCTGTTAAATCAGCGCCTGAATCTCTGGTACAAACATTACAGAGGCTGGTATTAATCACTACCGTCTTTTTAGCTCTGAGTGTTACCATAGACAAAAATAATTAAATATAGACTGTCAGCCGTTCTGCGGTTACCATGGTTACCATAGGTTCTTTCTGGCGCAGACCGCTGAGAGAGCCGTGTAGTTACGTAGTGCGTAGGACTAACTACATGGCACTCCCAGCGGTGTGCGCCAGAACCTATGGTAACCGCAGCACAGATGACGGTCTATATTTAATTTTTTTTTCTATGGTGTTACTAATATGAATGAACCAACATATGTTTGTCGCCAGATCATGTCATGTCTGCTAGTGGTGACGTCATCGTTTGTTGGAGTGTTTGCAGGGAAGAAATACGTCGACTGGAGAAGCTTTCGCTTGTTCAGTAGATACATGAAGATACAGTAGATACAGATGAAGGGAAGAATCGCTCTTACATGTACATATGTTGATTGAGTGTTAGTGTTGTTTTCTGAGTTTTATTATACCACTTTTGTCAGTTTTGTGGTATTCTTTTACCCTTTTATTCTCAGTCCTAGGTGTTCCATACGTTGAGGTAATTTTTATAATCCTTCGAGAATCATTCTCTTTTTGCTTTCTCAATTTATTTTTTTTTACTTGACCAAAACACAGAAAAGTAAGGAACAGAGTAAACATGCTTGGGACAACGTGGGACATCCGCGTGTTTTCAGCTCTTGTTGTGCCGGAAATATACTTGTGAGAGTCTCTGAGATATTTAACTTTGAATGTCGGTTATTTAGTATTTTTCTCATACTGAATATCTAGTTTTTATGAAAATCGAATAATGATCACAAATGCACTTATGAACAAAACTATATATTTTATTTGGTTCTTCGAAATATCAAATGGTTTAATAACTAACTCTAAACATTAGGTTACTGTTATCGTTTTCTGTGAAAGAAAAACAATGGTGTCAAAAATGACTTTTTGGGAAGAATTATAAAATATCAGGTTCTGGATGTTGTTTTTCCCCCTATAGGCTAAATGAATATCCTGTAACCAAAAAAAACTAGTTTAAATATTTAGAAAGCGCCTGTTAACAGTCCAAAAGCATTTTTTAGGACTAACGTGTATTGTGATACAGCAGGCGCTCCAGGCTTTCGTTTGAGACCAAATGTTTGTTATTTTACTGTGTAGTGTGTATAAATCTAAACTGTTCTATTTTCAATTAATTACTTATAAGCATTTAAAATAATAATGATAGTAAATATACAAAAACTTAAGAAACCCCCTATTTCAGTTTTAATTATTGTAAATCTTTGTCTTAAAAGAAAATTTAGGACTTACTAATTTGATTACTGAGAGATTACGTATTTTATTTTATCTCTACTACACTATATTCATGACAACGGATTGGTTATTATCAAAAGGTCTTTATATTTTTTAAGTCTTTCTTTTAAAATAATTTGCTTGTATTAAAGGTGAAATTGGTTTTTAGTTACTGTAATTTTACATTGAATAATTATGTAAAGTATTTCACAAAGGAAATGTGGTAAAAAATAATGTTAAAATATGGTAATAACAGGCGTTAGTTGAACACGACTATATACATATAATATTTAATGATACCACTAAACGTCTACAAATTAATCTTATGAGATTTGCAACAAACAAATCCTTTAAAACACATATAAAACAATTCTTGGGGGAACTCCACCCATAAAAACCAGGTTTTTAAAAAAATCTATCCTATTTCAGTTATATATGTAGAAGTTAAAAAGTGTTTTACAGTTTTTCCTAAACATTTTGATGTAAGACACATAGTAAAAATATTTTTGTATGCACTATTATTTTACAAAATAAGTAAGTGCTACACTGGCCCCGTTCGCCGAAAGTTTAATATCCCTCCCCTTCGGAAACTTTCGACATAATTTGTATACATTCTCTACGAAATAGCTTCAACCCTCAATGGTCTCAATGGTTCAAAACTGCACCCAGCTGTTTCTGATCATTGGACTTTTAATAGATAATCATGACTAATGAAACAGCTGATCTTAGTCAGTGACAATGCTACACAGACCATTACACTTCATTCTACACTCATAATTCACTTTGGCATATATTAGTGTTAAAATACACCTACATAGGAGGCGTTCCCATCTCAATGATTGATAATTAAATTGATTATTGATGTTTGACTATTGTATTTGTGACCTTTGCTTTACGGGGAATCAAAATAAAACGAGTAGACAAAGTGTTTTCGTTCGACATCACGAAACCAATGTAGGTGTCCAAAGTGGTGGCCTTTGAATAATTACTTGAATAGCTTCCAAGAACTAACGTCACTCACTGGGCTTTGACTAGGTGGACACAGACGACGTCTCTTTTGACGTCACCGTGTCAGGAGTCTACATTCACAGTCAACAAGAGGGACACCTTCCTGTCTGTCTTTGATAGGGAGACCTTGTGTAGTTCAATGTAGGTACAGTAAATTCATCGTTTGATTTAACTTTTAAAACGAATGTTTTGTGTCGTACAAATCGTACCATGTATTTTGGCGAACTCATGCTACATGTTAAAAATAGATGGAACGTACAATACTCAATTAAACACTAAATTTCTCAAGTGTTTTAATACATTTTATACGATTTTAAAATTTGTTCCTAATTAAGACGTAATTTTTAAATCTACTTAAGAGATATGCTTGAGTTAAAGATTGTATTTTTTTAATTTTAAACCCAGGGTGAATTACATTAAAAAGGAAAATGAGTTTTTGGATTTTTTTATGGTACTAAAAAAACTGACGCAAAGTGTAATTAATTTAATGTGAAGATAGTAATAATTGTACTCAAACAGTACTTTCACATTCCTTAAAACTTCATTTAAGCGTCTTATAACCTTAATCTGATAAATAAACCTTACACAGCATAAACCTTAAACCGTACACATTTTAGTTAATTTTTATTTTCGAGGTCATGTCTAGAGTTTCGTGTTTTGATGTCCAGATAGTGAATGCATCATCCATTTAGAACAAATACATAGTCTTAATTAAAAAAACAAAGACTCCCTTATATTTATTTGTATACATATCTGTATTGATGTCAGTATCACTTATATAGATTTTCCGGCTTAACTGTGTGGTATCGACAACAATTGAGTATAATTGTGTTTATTACCCTTTGCCCAACCAACGACAAATATGATGATTGGCAAATCAGTTCAATCCACAAGCAATCATCTGATGGCAAATATCCTCGTCAATCGGCAATCATGGACGGATTACCGACGATTTACAACTAAAATTCGATGTAGTGGTGAGTGTAATCCACCAGGAATGTACATGATTTGTCATTTTGTCATTAATTACAACTAGTTAGTGTTTCGAAAATTAATGTGTATAACAGGAAACTATGTTTGGATTGTGATCGAACGAAATAACTTGTAGATAATTGTCTATGGATAAATGGAAAATGTATTTCAGGGAACTCATAGGGAAATGTGGTATTTATTCCGTACATTATTATTTCTTTGTCATGAGAGCCGAAGCCCCCTGACTACATACCCGGTACCTATCGTGAGACATACCCGGGCCCCATGATGTAGGCCGAAGCTTACGCATCAACCTTTAGCACATCATGGGCGGATGACTTAAGGTCATCAGGCTCGCCGGCTGCCGAAGCAGACCCTTCGGAAAGAGGGTTGCCCCTCAATCCTAACCAGGGACTCCGGCTGCTTGTTTAAGCGTCACTCCACCTGGGTTCCACCAGGTACAAAGCCCTAGAGGACCATAATGGAGCGCCCCGACGCATTTAGTGCAAGCAACACTCGGGACCTATCTAATCCCTGACAGGCAGAACCCGCCATCATAGCCAGAAGGAAGGGGACCGTCAGCACGCTGACGGGGGAACCCCAACCTCCCATTTACGCCACTACCCGATCGAGGCCTTACCCAGTTGCTGGGAAACCAGAGATAACCAGAGCGATAGATCCCCAGATACCCCTGGCGGGCTCGGACCCAGCACCCAATCTACTTCGTTTGCCCGTCAGACCCAACATAACTGCCAGGCCATCAGGGTTTCCCAAAAGGAGGCAGGTATAGAAGTGGGACCCACCCGGATGAACCTATCCACCAGAGGTGGCGACACCCTTGACTCAATTGAGGTTCCGGGAAGAACCCCCCACACTCAAGATAACCATACCGTCCGATTTATTCCGTACAGGTGCCTCCAAACGAATTTTTAATTTTGATATCTTACTTTATAGTTTTTTACCTCCTGAATCCAAATATACCATTAATTTTCACCGCTGATGAATATTTCTCAAGATATCGCCGTAAAAACATACTTAGCATTACAATAAACAAGGTAGGATGGATGACATTTACAAGTGGAATGTACTATGGGTTAAGTAAACCAACCAGCTGATTGTTTTCAATCATAGTCAAGCAAATGGAAGTGACAACTTTAATTAGCTAACTCTGATTCTGCAATAAGAAAATCGCCTGATTAAGTTACACTTTTCACTTTCTAAGACCAATAAGTTAATAATGTATTATTGTTACCAGTATTTTATCCTTATTAATGATTTATTGATTTATATTTCGCCGTTTAGAAATTACATACTAAAATGGTGCTATTCTAACATAACCTAACCTAACCAAACCTCTAGAATGTGTAAGCAAACTCCTTTTGATGTCAGAAAAGGCATATCAGGGTGATAGGTTGTGCTTTATGTGAATTGGTGACTGCATTAAGTGTTTTGAAGTTAGGTTAGATTAGGAAGGTAAAGTTAAGGTTATAATGTATCGAGTTGTTAGTTTATGTCGCCTGCAGATTGTTTTTGTAAAATTAAAATCCTGAGAAAAACACTTCAAATTACTATTTCAAAAATGCTTGCAAAAGTAAGATATCAAAATTAAAAATTCGTTTGGAGGCACCTGTACGGAATAATTACCCTAATGTGAGTATATTTTTGATACACAGCTTGCCTAGTGAGTAGTATATACATGTAAGTGTCTACTCAATGTTAGTATATTGCTGGTTCAATCTTGAAAAAAGTCAGTAGCTTTTTTATTGTTTTGAAACTTACCCCAACTGTGATTTTATTGGTCTGTTTAATGGTTTTGGCTAAACTTCAAGTATAACAAAGCTACAACAATTTCTGACTTCATTATTCATCTCCTGTTGATGTAAAATATTTTCAGTATCATTTATCAATCACAACTTATTACATCAACATTGACATAGTGACACATTCTTAACCAGATCGTTTGTATAATTAGGCACTACTGAATGAGGAAAACTTTGAGTTTTCCTCTAAAGAGATTTTTATCTGATGATGAGCCGGAAGAGGAACTTTCCTCGTTCGTCCCCATGTTGATGCTGATGAAGCTGATGATGAAAGCGTTAGAGATCTCAATGAAATCCCAAATCCAGTGCTTCATGGAACTTTGTTGATTTGGAGAAAAGAACACATCATGTATTTATATAATGTCTGTTTATAACTTGTGTACATTTTTTAAATAATCTGATGGAACAATTTAGTTCATTTTACCATAACAAGCTTGTTGAACTTCAATTTTTGCTGTTACACGTCCTCCAAAACTCTCTCTACATTCGACCTTCTTATTTAAGTGTTATACCCTATACAGAGTGTACCACGAAGAGATTTCGGATGGTTGATTTTGTTTTATTTGCCCATCCATGCACCAAAAGCTTAAAAATTTATAGCAATTTAAAAAGTAGGTTACGCAAATAGTTTGAACTGCTCTGCTAAGTACGTTGACAAATAATTAATTTAAGAACTCAGCTATATTTTAATGGCTTTGAATAGTAACAGCTGTTAACTCACTAATTATTATCTTTGACTATTAATACAACAACTTCTGTATCCAATAGTCAATGTTATTATATTCGATCTAGAAAAATATAATCTCCTAACAGACGTCAAAGTTTAAATAGGTGATACCACATTTAATAGTAAGAGCCTTTATTCTTAAATATAAATTACCATACATTATTGTTTGTAAGTTTGAAGGTGTTACACACATTTTTAATCAATAAGCATGGTTGTTTTACCTGGGATAATATTGAGTGTGATTTGCAATAATGGCATTTAAAGCTTATTATTGACTTCAATGGCTGTACAAATTGCTTAATCAAGTCATTCTAAATGTTCACATTGATTGGTAATCATTGATTGTTCTTTAATCAATGGGTATTAATTGTTTGCAAGACCATCTACACCATAAATGTTGGCAAAACCAATAGGATTGCTGTTGCCTTTCGTGGTAGTATTTATAAGATATGTTTTGTTTGCGTCTGAGGCAGTAGAGTACTTAATTAATGAATTTGTTTTAAACTCTTTGGAGGGAAAGCTGTCCTAACCACGCAAGTCTTTGTGGAAATAAATAAGATTGACCCATTCAATTCTCACTCAAGACCTAAACCCTAGGTCCTGAAACAAATAGGCTAGAAAATACAACAATTCACAAATTTACTAACATATTCCAATAGCATAGTCCGTACACTTTAAAGACTGTTTTAAAATACCATGAATATAATTACAGTCATAAACTGCAAATAAATCAGTATCAATACTTTTTCATTTCATTTCACATCACCAATATCCCAATCATAATCTTTATTATTTAATAATAATAAGTGTAAAAAAACCTGTAATGTATAAAAACACAAACAACTTATCAGCGATTAAAAAAAGTTGTATCTTATATTAGCATTTTGTATATTTTATATCTTAGCTATATATTTTATAGTGACAATTAAATCTTAGAAAAATCTGTGTATTTTATGTACACTAAAAAAGTGTAAGAAACCTGCATGCATATATTGTCAAATGATAGAACATTATACATTTTTCCAATCACAAATTTACACTATGTATTTATAGACTGCCATTGAAATAAAATGGATAGATTGAGTTGGATTGACTTTTCAGCGCAACCTACTGTACAAAATGCAGTATATGTTGATCAACATAGCGTGCCCCATTAATTGCTGTCTTTAATGGGTCATGTAGGTTTAAGCTTTCTTTACAATTATACCATTACTTTTATATTTAACATGTGAATTAGATTTATCGCGAGCAAATCATAAATTTGTTTATAACAATAAGAATTTCGAATACTTTTTTAACAATAATGAAAAAGGTAATTTAAGAAAACATTTAATTAACAAAACCTAACAATTTTACAGTTGTTTAAAAATAAATTATAGGTACGTAAATTAGAGGACGTCACCGTCGACGAGGTGGCAGAGGAAGGTCTTCTTCAAACTCTTCCGCTACAACAACAGCTATGAAGGCCCCGATGAATCCCGACACCATCATCAACAGCTGTTCAGAAAACACAAAAATAACATAAATTACAGCAAATTTGTATTCATTTAAACTAATTTAATACAAAATCTGGCTCAAAAGGTTTATACTAACTTTAAATAGGATTCTCGTTGACCACGCGTTTTGCACTATCAACGAATCCATCAAAACCTCATCTGGACCTAAGCTAAACTGATCTGGAATGTATTAGCTTTGACTTTTGATACAACTTCAGTATCCAATAGTCAATACAAAACAATCAATAGTCAATCCCATAACAATTTTAAGAACCCCTAGTCTTAAGAACAGTGGCGGTGGAATTACACTGTATTTATATGCCCCCAAATTGTAAATAAGATCCTAGAATGCTTGGATTTAAACTACATATTCTGTATTTCAATCGTTGAATGGTTAGAGCACAAGACCTTTGCCCTAGAAACCCGGGGTTCAAATCCCGCCAATCGCTTTTCCTTTCATGTATGTTATAATAGCGTGATCCGAATATATCTATCCAGAAAACTCAAAGGATACGAATCTTGAGTGAGAGATTTATCAATATTAGAAAAACATTTCCTCCATAAGCGAGACGGCATCAATCTTTACTGAAAATCGCTAGAGTTTGAATACGGTTTTATTTTAATTTCAAATAATGGTTGTGAGAATTTCTACTTCAAGACCACGAACATATACCTAGATGAGGTGACGTTTTGAAACTTAATTGGAGAATGGATTTAATTTGAATACCTAGATAACATAAACATAGTATACAATTTGAATTTAGTATTATTGATTTTTTTAAATTGTCATATTCTGGAACTGACTATTGATTTATGAACTAAAAATAGTGACATAACCAACAACTAACATCACTAAAATATTAAACCTTAACTAGCAAACTCAGTAATCACAATGTAGGTCTTAGTGACATTAGATTTATGAACTAAGGTTTTTACTTACCACAATTTGAGTCCACAATTCCATTATATTATTTTTTGTTTATTACTTCTAGCTGACCGCTAACTAAGTGAATAAATCAATGTCTCTCAAAGTTGATAAGATTATTTAATAGAATGTAAAGTAAGTATTTATGTTTCATGATAAGTAAGGTTGATTGAATTAACAATTTTGATGGTTATCAAAGTCTTTGGTAGAACCATACATTGAATTAAGAAAGTTGTATAAATGTTTAACATCAGCTACATAAACGCAACCTTTTCAAGATTGTGAATGGCAATTAATTGTACAACTGTTGATTCCCTATATAGATTGCTTTTCTGAACAAGCAATAATTTAACCATTCACCGTGAAACATTTAAAAAAAAGGTTTATTTTACTAAAAAACAGTTTATTTTATACATTTTCAAGTGCTTTCGGTGAAAGATGACGAAAATTGTTGAATATTGATTGGTACTAAAAAATACATGAGTAGCAAGTGTCTACTTTTTTTTATTTCCTTAAACCTAACACATCAAACATAATGAACATTTTATTACATAAATAGGTTAATAGTACAAAATGACTACTTAAACTGTATGCTGAAATAGCCATCCCAATTATACAGAATACCCCATAAGTAAGTAGCCTGAAAACAATAAAGAAAATTGGTTTAAATGGGTCCAAATAAAACCAAAATTAATAATAACTTTTTTAAACAAGTTAGCAAGATATCAGCAATTTTGTCTCTTTGTGTTTTTCCTTTATATTTTTAAAACTACTTAAAATAAGTTTATGAAATTCCGTATCGATTTAAAAGGTTTGGTGGTTTTTCTATGATTTGGCTGTTGTTATGCAACAATTAATGTCAAGAACACTTTTGTTTAGCATGTAATTGTCTATCAAACAATAAATTCCAAAAATAAACGAATAATAAAAAGCTTAAAACCACGAACTTTACTTAGGGGTCTCAAAATAAGGCCGAGCTGTTAGGTTGCGCCTCAATTTGCGCCTAAAAACTCTTGTAGGCTTACTCATTTCCGATACAACCTGTACAGGCTAACCAAGATTAGGTATTTCTGCACTGAAAATGAAGTAAATAATTGAGCTTTTCTGGTAGCTACTGTTGGGTTTTTTACCATTAGTCTATTGTTTATATTGACATACATACGTGATATGTTTTACAGGTCTGCCCTGTCTGTTTGACACTATTTAAAAGTTAGATTGTGAGAAAAAAGTCTTTTTTACAGTATCTTACTGGTAACTTTGTCAGTGACCTAGGTGAATGATTTTTTACCCTGAATCTGAACTTTAACATAGGGATAAAATCTCTAACTCATGGCAGTGAGTCTAAATTCAACAATAATATATTATCATTATTTAGGTTCAAGAATATTTTTTACAACTATTTAAAATGTATTCAAATACAGGAAGATGGTTCAAATATAGTTCTAGTAGTTCAACATTAACCACCCACAATGTTTCATTTTCAATTCCTGCCAACATCGCTAGCAATCAACATACAGTCGACCACGTGTGTATATACATGTTTCACTATATGTGAAGCGTTATGTGATTCGTCATTGGTTCCCGAACCAGCTCCAATTCCAGGTTCAGCGTGATACGAAATTGCGTCAGCCAATATGGAGTACGTGTTACAATCCAAATGTGTTTCCACACATCCCTCCAAGCTGGGCAGGACGTGCCGTTTCCGATGAAAGAACGTTCCCTGCATGATGAAAAACAATCAAAAGTTTTTTTTTTTCTCACCATATGATTTTACTGGTTTGTAACGTTAACGTTTGTATTGCTAGAAACTGATTGGTGTAAAGTTATTCAAAATTAATCTTGGTGTAACATGCTGTTTAAGGTGTGTAGAGTAAATTAAATATTTGTCATATAATTGCTCGGTTTTAAAATTCTGGAGGTAAACTAATATATAATCCTCATACAAATTATCCGGAATGACATAGGTTGGACAGTGACTGTTCAATAACCTAAGACTTTTCGTCTCCATATTAATCTTTTTTTTTTTTGTTGAAATATTTTTTTACTGAACGTGCTTAGAAATGTGATGATGTGAACGGTTATTATAGCTATTCCTGCTGACTACTAACTAAAACCTTACTACTTTTGAAAGTCATATGCAGACAAAGAGTAATAAGTAAGATAATTAATGTGAAAAATGATTTATGTTCATACTTTTGTGTGCATGACGTATAACAAACTTTACAACCCCTTGGATCAATATGATTTTAAAAAACTTTAAAAAAGAGTTTTACGTTCGAATCCAATTGTTTTCTAATGAAAAGCATGTAATTTTACAGAATTACAGATATTTCAATCAAAAGAAACTCGGGAAATGTATACTTATAACAACTGAGTTAAAACTTATAATTCGTTTACAATCATTCGTGTACAAATCATGGCTAAATTTACAAAACCAGATTGGCTTATCTACGTTTTACAATATAATTTAAACACACTGAACATTCGTCATTGGATGATTTTTAATCAGCCTTGATTGTTTCATCATTAACTTTTTCTGCGTTGGCTTTGCGGGATTGCTATGTAGTTGTAGTAGAATTCAATTGCCTTGTGAGAGATCATGATCCCAACGTAGGACGCCGCAGCTACCGCCAGCAGTCCCAGGATCTGGAAAAAGGACACGTTAGAACACTTTTTTGAAAAATAAAGTAATAATAACTGGTGGTGATATATAATTGTAAAACAATCTCGGAAACTGTAACGTTATTACATTTAAATAGAATGAAATATATGAATGAAGAATCTTTTATTGTCAAGCATTTATAACAAAAGTAACAAGTAAACAAACATTGTTTTTATGAAAACATCTGATTGAATTAAATTAAAGAACAGTATTTCAGCATACATAACATTTCCCCCTTCCTTCTTTAAATGCCTGGAGGACTAATATTCATCATGGTAATACATTGGCCTTCTTATATTCCGACTTGATTTTCTCTGGTTTGTAGTACCAGATGAAGGTGAAGTTAGTGTTTGTGAAGTTTGCCGTTGAATAGATTGTTGTGCAGGCTGTATTTGTTGGCGTGTTCTTAAATGGTCGGAATGCTGCCTGTATTCTTTGTCATCAATGTTCACTCTGTATGACAATGGTGCTGTTTTCCTTAGCACTACCCCTTCTCTCCAATTTTCATTTGGATTCCGTTTCACCCAAACCGTATCACCTGCACTAAAGTCTTTACGTTTAGAGTGGATATCATGATAAAACTTTTGGCGTTCTGACGACTGTTTCATCTTTTCCTTCACGTCCGGTCTTAGGGTGTCAATCAAAGTTCTTGGGTTTCTTTTCAGGAAAAGTTCAGCTGGTGTCCGTCCAGTCGATGAATGTGGAGTTGTTCTGTATGAGAATAAAAGTGTATGGAGTCTTTGTTCGTGATCATTTATGTCAGTCATGAGATACTTGTTTTGAAATGTCTGAATGACTCGTTCAACACAACCATTGGAACGACTGTGGTAGGGAGTAGTTCTGATGTGAATCACGTTATTTTTGCGGCAAAAATCTCTAAATTCTTCTGAGACGAACTGATTTCCATTGTCAGTAACAATTTGTTTCACAAGTCCATATCTACAGAAAAGTTCACGAAGTCGTCTTATCACAGTGTTGCTTGTAGCGTTTTTCATTGGAAATATTTCCAACCATCGAGAATATGCGTCTATTACCACTAACCACATGTATCCGTCAAAAGGTCCTTTGAAATCAATATGTAATCTTTCCCAAGCATTTTCCGGTATATTCCATGAATTGAGTGGTGTTTCGACATCATTCTTCCTGAAAGTTTGGCATCTTGTACAAGTTTTCACTAAGTTTTCAATGTCATCGTCTATTTTTGGCCAGTAAACGTACAACTTCGCCAAAGAGCGCATGGCAACTATTCCTGGGTGTGAAACGTGGAGGTAACTAAGAATGTCTCCCCTAAGTGACTTAGGAATTACTATTCTTTCTTGCCACAATAAAATCCCCTCTTCATAAGATAGTTCATGTCTCTTGTCATAGAATATCTTCAAATTGTCTGGAATTGAACTTCGATCGGGCCATCCCCTGACACAATAGGATATAATGTGTTTCAGTTCATCATCTCTGTGAGTGTTATCTTGAAGCGTTCGTTTGGTAAGTGGCAAATCTTCAATTCTCATAGATCTTACTTGGTTTACTTCACCAAGCGTCTGATACGTATCAATGTTTGTTACTCCTTCTAAAGGTAATCTACTCAGACAATCTGCCAGAACATTATCTTTTCCAGCCCTGTAGTTTATATCGTAGTCGTATCCACTGAGTATAATAGCCCATCTTGCAAGTCTGGAAGCGGCATGTTTAGGTATAGGCTGCTTTGCCCCAAAGATTCGTTCGAGTGGTTTATGATCACACAAAAGTGTGAAATGCCTACCATAGAGATATTTGTAGAATTTCTCAACACCAAAGATAATGGCCAGTGCTTCCTTATCTATAGAAGAATAGTTCTGTTCTGCTGAATTTAATGTCCTTGAAGCGGCTGCAATTGGTTTCTGACTGCCATCAGGACAACGATGAAGGAGAACTGTTCCTAATCCAATATTGCAAGCATCTGTTGCAAGGATAAGTGGAAGTTTAGGATCATAATGTACAAGCACCATATTGTTTGAGATGTTGCTCTTAATTTGGTTGAATGCGTTCTCACAGTCACTATTCCAGGCCCAAGTTGAGTTCTTGTGCAAAAGTCTATGTAAAGGAAAACAAAGAGATTGCAAATTTGGAATAAATCTTGATTAGTAATTCACAGATCCAAGAAATGATCTAAGCTCAGAAACGTTCTTTGGTGGGGGTTGTTTCTTGATAGCTTCTACACGATCTTCAACAGGCTGAATACCATGAGCACTAATTTTGTGCCCAAGATAAGTCACACTTTGTTTGAAAAGCTGTAGTTTATCTTCACGCGTGCATAGTCCTGCTCTCCTCAATATATTTAAAACTGTTTTGAGCCTATCAATGTGTTCTGGTCCACTTCTACCGCCCACACATATGTCGTCAAAATACCATGCACAATCATCAGTACCAACTAATAATTGGTCCATCAGCTTTTGAAAAATCTTAGGTGCAGTCTTAATACCAAAAGGTAATCTATTGAAGGTAAAATATCCTTTATGTGTCGCTACCACTAGATATTTTTTTGATTCTTCGTCCACTGGAATCTGTAGATACGCATCCTTCAAATCAATAACTGAAAAGAATTTTGAACCATTCAACTTAAGTACTGTTTCTTCAAACGTAGGGATGCAGTATTCGTCATCGATTAAATGAGGGTTGATTGATACCTTGAAATCCGCACATAATCGTACCTCACCATTAGACTTCGGTACAACAACTAAAGGAGAAGCACAAAGGATTGGAGTAGTAGCTGGATCCACAGGTTCTAAGACCCCTGAGGACACTAAACGATCTAGTTCCTTGCTAGTTGCACTGTGTAATGCGAACGGAACAGGTCTCGGTTTGTGTATTGGCAATTGTACATCATTAGCTACTCTAACCTTAGCTTTGAAATTTTTCACTGTTCCTAGGTTATTGGTAATTATGTCTTTGAACTCTTTATATATCTTACGCTTCTCCCCCTCTTTGTATATAATGTCCGTGTTAATATGATTGACGCTATAAGAATTTTGCTTACATACATGTTCACAGTTAGGATCTAGATTAAATGCTACAATCCAATCTTTACCAAGCAAAGGTGTACCTGAAACACTGTCAGTGACAGCAACACTTAATTGCAAAGTAGTTGATCCTAACGAAACAGCGACCTTAGTCTCGCCGAGCATAGGTATTCTAAATGACGGATAAGCACCCAGCTCCTCCGTAGGAGTCAGTGCCGGTTCACCAATTTGTTTCCACGTAGATTTACTAATTATAGTTCTTGCAGCAGCAGTGTCATATTCCATCGTTATTGGAACCCTATTTATTGTTAAATTTACAACGTAACAAAATTTCTCTACATTATTTATTTGACTTATGTTTTTTTACCAAACCGGGAGCCTCAGCTAGTTCATCAGATATGTCAGGACATCCGTTATTATTTTGACGGGAAAAGTCTACATTGCCACTATAATCACTCATACCAGCAAACTTATCAATTTGTTTGACATAACGTCTTGAAAGATTTTTCTCAATGACGACATTATTGGATTTCAGACAAAACTCGTTCAAAATGCCCCATTTTCCCACACGCTCTACATTGAATATTCATTGCCTTGCAATACTCACCTGTTTTATGTTTTGCTAAACCACACCTCAAACACTGTGACTCAGGATTCAAGCTGATTCTAGTACTGTCCCCTTTGTATAAAGGTTTAGTAGTTCGTGTAGCCCCTACCTTATTTACCTGTGCGTCACATGAAAATGTCCCAAGTGTTTCTATTTGTTGTTGTTGAGAATGTGCCATTTCCATGAGGTAGGCGTCTTTAACAATGTCGACAAGTCTTGCTTTTTCCTCAGGATGTTTTCTGATGAGCTCTTCCTGCATTTTAGGATCATTTAAGCCCAATAAGAACTGGTCTCGCAGTCTTTCGTCAAGTGTATCTCTAAACTCACATTCCGTCGCACCAGCTCTCAAATTGTTTACAAATATGCGTATAGATTGATCTTTGTTCTTCACGATTTTTCCAAATTTTAGTCTTTCGGCCAAATAGGATGTTTTTGGTTTATAGAAATTTGAAATAAACTCAACAATTTCCTCGTAATCTACTGTTAAAATAGGTGTTGGATAAAAGTTATCAACCACAATTCTATAATGTTCAGCACCAATCCATTTCAGAAGTAAAATTCTCTTAGCTTCTTGATTGTGTTGTAAGCCACAAACAATTATTTCCAACTCAAACCTTTGGTAGTAGTACTTCCATGTTTCTTTGGTAGCATCAAACTTCTCGAACTTGAAATGAGTTAAGCTATGTGTAGTAGGTTGTTCCACTGTTAATGTAGATGATGTGTCGTCATTGTCATATTCCTCATGTCCGTGCAGCGCCATTATGTAACGTTATTACATTTAAATAGAATGAAATATATGAATGAAGAGTCTTTTATTGTCAAGCATTTATAACAAAAGTAACAAGTAAACAAACATTGTTTTTATGAAAACATCTGATTGAATTAAATTAAAGAACAGTATTTCAGCATACATAACAGAAACAATCTACTTATTTTTCCACAGCCAGGAGACCACTACATCTAAAATATTCTTTTACTGACTCCAAAAACTTAGCTATTACCTCTTTTGATTTGATATGAATAATACGCACGTTGTATAATATACACGTAATATATCTTTATATTATAAAGAAGTTCACCCATTGATTAAACGTCTGTATAGCCAATGAGTAGTCTAAAGTTGACGAAAGGTTACATAGCCAGTAATATTAACTAGCCTACATATTAACAAGTACTAGTGTCATTTGCATAAAAATATTTTACGTATTACCTTTTGTTTATACAAATGTATTTTGCTTCGAAGTACCTTTTGAAGTACTAGAAATGTCATTCCCATGCAAAGTTTTGGCCAGTTTGAGAAATAAATGAACACAGTTAAATTGAGCTACTAGCAGATTTTGCGGATGTAAATTACTAAATTTTTAAATTCTAAAACTTTTCGACCAAGCAAAAATGATAGGATATTTTGTGTTATATCTTTGACTATTAATACAACAACTGTATCCAATAGTCAATGGTTATGTCTATCAAACTATAAAAATTAAGAGAGAAAACACAATTTTTAAAGTAGCCTCTGTCCAGAAATTGGCTTATAGCATTGACAAAATATTTATTTCTTGGATGTCTAGGTTACTTTACAGCATTACTGATGTCAAATATTTATTAGAAAGCATTGCTGTAGGTTCTTTATGAACAACTATAATGTAGTTAAAAGTTACTTCATTTTCTTTCACTATCTAAAAACTAATCATCATCATAACTTTCTCTGAAATAAATTCTTGTGTTAGCTAGCTTGAATAAATAAATATTCATAATAAATATTCAATGAGCAATCAAAAATGTGTTTACTTATGTTTTATTCATTAATTATTTGACTGTTAGTAAAATTATTTGTTTATAAATGAGCGACGAAAAAGATAATAAAAATTTATTTTATGCTTTTAAAATTTGACTAACATTTTCAGTAATTGTTTTATGGGGTTCGCTTAAAATCAACCTTTTGAAATGTTAGGAATGCTGTTCAGATCGAAAACTTTCTCCATAAAGCTTTTACAGCAGTTTACGTTTATCTCTATGAACGAATAACTCTATGTTGATACTGTACTTGAATTGAACATATAGATTAAATTTGTATGTGAAGTTTCCATTTTCTAAACAAGAATTCAGCCATGAAATGTAATAACTTAAATTTAAATCAGTAAATATTGTCCATTTTGAAAATAAAAAATATATATTTCCTCTCATGCTTTTAAACGTATCTCACGTTTTTTGTCCTAGGATGCTAGGTACGAGCCAAGGATTGTTTTTCTCATTACTTCAGGCTAGACCTAGGGGTTGTGGCATCATCACCTAGATAAAAATCCATTGGTGATTTTGCAGGATTTAAACCCGAGATCTCAGGGACAGAAGTCCCACGCTCTAACCAGTTCACCCCCCAAAGTAAGGGTAAAGTTTAAAGTAGAAGTATCCCCTAGATCAATGACAGCTTATTTCCATACGTGAAAACTTCTTATGTATTTCATCTACGTGGTGACTGCTTAAACCTAGTCTGTAAAAATATTTTAGTCATTTGAATTCCTTTTAAAAGAACCTTCTTAAAAATATATAAAATTATAAAAAACCTTTTGGATCTACCTACACTACTTACAATGTTTCTCCAAATCATGGCAGCCATGTTGTCTATCGCCCACACGGATTATCAGTGCTATTCGTAGTGTGTTATCATAGAATAGCCACTGATAAAAAATCATTTATCAACATAAATTCATGATAATGCTGACTCAAAATTCCTCAAAACTACTGTGCTTGCTGTGTACGCAGCTTGAAATATTATCGTAGCAGAATATTTGTTTAAGAACAAGAATAATATGATTGCTCATTGAAGGATTTTTTTACCTTATACATTAAAATAACTGTTAGAGTATGTAAAAAGATATTGAAATTTAATAATATTGCAAGCCATGGTTCCTTTAAAAGAAAGCATTTTTAACTTAGCTTAAACTCAATAGAATATTAAATAACATACTGTTCAACTTGTATTGACAAATCTTAAGTTTTTAAAAACTGTTTGTATTTATTCAATACTGTTTTTTCTACATTATTGAATTTTCCTTTAAAGCTGTTTTAACATGAACAGATTATGACTAAGTCCGGAAAATTTACTTCTGATGTACAACGATTAACATTTCACAAGTTGATAGTATATCTTATGTAAAAAGATCAACCTTCAGAAAAAAATTTATTTTGTGAGAAAAAACCTTTTGTGAGTTCACGTTGCTGCCGAACAAAACCTTAATCCTTCGTAACAAGAAAGACTCTGCAATCTTTTTCGATCTCTAAAGACATGTAATCCAATCTAAACTTAAAACCCGTCATGAATGAAAGTTATAATTTAGTAAAATCAGCACTTTTACTTTGTACGTTCACATTCGTTGCACTTTCTTTGATTCACAAAGAGATCAAGGATTAATTTTACATAGATTGTAAAAACTAATTTTTAAACCTTTGATTGGGAATAATATTTTTGCAATACATTGTTTTATTTACTTTACCGCAACGTTGAGTATATTATGACTGATTTAGAACGTAAAAGACACTCTTTGTTGGTGATAAAAGTCGTGTTACAGTGAAGATTGCTTACAAAATAATAGTTTATTGTTATAAATGTCATTACTGTAGTTAATCCATAGCAAGGATATTAGAACAGATAATAAATAACGTCAAATAACGAATGTCCATACTGATTTCGAGTTCCATACAGCTGGTATTTAAGTTTTTTTTTTACTGTTCCATTTAAATTATAATTAAAAATCTGTTTTTTTTTCGGGCCAGTGACGTCATTTGTTTATTTTAGCGAATTTTCCTATAGGGAAGTAGCTATTTATGATGCATGCCATTTCTGTTCTAATATTCGTTGGCATAGGTAATTTTTGCGTAATTGACAAATGTAAACCGTTAACATTGAATTAGTACTAAATTTTGAGTACTAACAATACCTTACACAATTGAAAAGTAGCTTAAAATCCATGCTTACTTAAAACTATGAGAAGTAGAATAAATTTAAATCGTAATAGAATATACTCGTATTTATTTTATGATACAAGTTTTTTTCACAACTGTACTACTGTATGCACTTGCAAATATTGAAATTAAATCTATACCATGTATGGATTTTAATATTTTGATTATCACAATATAGAGCTGTTATTATATTAAGGTCGTAAATTGAATAGAACTGTGCACCTTGAAATTAATATTTTATTTTATTGAAGTTACAAGTTTCATTTTTTTATTTTTTACAGGTTTTAAAGATATAAATCCATGCATATGTTTCATAATATTGTACATATTTTGTATAATTTTTTTTATAACAACTCAAGAATCTACCGAAAACGTGCACAAAAATATGCTACCATTATTCCTGAAAGTAAACAGTTGTTTATGTTACATTCAATTGCAAGCTTTGACGTACAAGGGTGAACGAATCTTTGTTTATTCTTGATACCGAAATGTCTGCCTGCTGTACTTCAAACCCACTCCATATTATGCTGTTTTTCCAATCTCTATTTCAGTGTGTACATTGACTATATAGCACAAATTTTATTTGTTAAATAATCCATTTACATTTAACATTTCATAGCTGTTTATTTTAACGTTAGACATTGTATCCTTGAAATTTAATATTTCATATTTTCTTTTTTTCATTATTAGCATATATATAAAAGGGTATAATGTATACCTATTGTATATTTAGTTATTTACTCTACAAGTAATAATTGGGACCAAAAATTATGTAAAGATATGTAAATATGTAAAAATATATAAAAATATGTTAGCCTCTTATTTTTATAAAAAAGTTGAACAAAATGTCATTTCATTGTACTGTAAATATAAATAAATTGTCCCAAGAATGTAATTCAGGAATTGATAAAGTACATTATCTTTTAAAGGAGATACTAGTATCACTCTGAAATGCAGCAACTTGAAAAGATATTTATGTCACACATCAAGCCATGCAATATAAAAAGGAACTAAACTATCTTTGACTTGGCCAAGATAGTTGATATACTGGGACAATCGGAAAACATCCGACCAAAGAAGGTTGTTTGTGGTGAACATTCATCTTGAAAACTTTTAAACCAAACGGACAGGATTTTTGTTTCACTAGCAAGAATCCATCCGACATCTTTCTACAGTACGAACGATATGTGAACAGGAATCAAAGTTTAATTCAGTTACTTTCTAAATTTATGTGTTTAAAGTGATTTTTAGTGTGAGTGCTTGCTTTTCAAAAGAAACAATAGAGTTTTGTTATTTGTATTTTTGTATTTTCTGGTTTCATCAACAATTTTTCATAATCATGCTCGTTAAAATTATTTTTTGCTGTTGGTTATGTTGCAAGCACGTGTTTGCAACAAATGTATAACATTGGGTCTTGGATTGTCTAGTAATTCTTCACATAGCTTGTCCTTTGAGTACTGGAGACAAATCTTGTCAGTCACCAATTTTTTAGATGTGTGGGTCATGCCTAACAGGTTGTTTAGAGCACCCTTTACGCTCTGGTCCCTTCTTTCGAAGAACACCCTCCACTAGTATTCATATGATTTCAAAGGCATTGTATTTGGTTTTTATGTTGTTGCTATTATCAATAAGGAAATTCTTCATATTAATCAATTCAACTTTCTAAATAACCGAGTATTCTTTCCTTTTTCCACTTGTATCCTTTCCAACAACCTAGACGCATTTCAACCTTCCACGTCTACAACCTTTTCAGCCTTGTATCGTCTTGCCCATCATTCCCTGTTCCGCTGATCCTCTTCTACGTCCCTTCAGAACGTAGGTCCGCAGTTCCAGTATGTCTTAGGACAGTATTTATCAGCCAGTATGCCATAAGCTTGTCCAGATCCTACTCGTACAACTCCCTTACTGCTCATCTTGTTCCAGATGTGTACTACGTAGGTTTCGTTCAACCTGTTCAAAGTCCTCTTGGCCATCGACTCCTCGAAGAAGGCTTTCCACTCTGTATAGTAGAGCGGATAGAACACTGGGATAGGGTATGCTGTGAACTCACTGCATTGGGCGTTCCCCTGGAAAAATTAGAATATTTTTAATTGGTGAAATATTTGAGAATTGATTAATTTAGATATATTTGGTACATTAGAAATGGAGCTAATATACTTTACTCTATAATGAAAAAAGGAAGAGTCCCTATCTAAAAATTCATCTAAAATCTAATTTAACCTTTTACAATATTATCTCTAAAGTCTTACTTCACCGGACATGCAGTATGCAGTACAATAATATTGTGGACATGCAATTTTTTTTAGTTTTTTTGCTGGACACAAGCTATAAATTTCATATTTTAAAATCGGTAGCCAACATGTTAAACATAATGTACATACATATTACATATTGTATAAACATTGTAATTGCAATAGAAACATCCCATGATAGATGTTTGAAGTATTTAGAGATTATAACATATACATCATGAAAAAGTGTTGATTAGCATGTAGTAATTAAACATTGTATATATCTTAGGGGAATTATTTAAGTATAAGTAATGTGGATGATTCATTTATAGCTGAATTGACTCATTGAATAGATCTACCAGCATATTCTGATTCATTGGTGGATGATATTGATAACGGCAAGATAATATTCATCATGGAAATTCCAAGTAGCTTTGGTAGTTATATATCAACTTGTTGTTTGGATGTTTAAATTGTAGTTTCTTTACGAGGAATATTAAACATACTGCGATTATTATGAGTTATAGTCATAATTTCAAAATTATGAACTTTTAAGGGCTAAGCAGGAACTTTACAGTCCCCACTGAGTTTAATCAAATACCTTTTATACCTATATCACGTCATATCCCCTATTAATTAACTACCAACTGTAGTTAAATCATAGGAATTAATTGGCCACCAAACTAGTTTAATTATAACAAAGATTTCTCAGAGTGGCAATTGGCAAATAATTGTTTGTATCAGCTGAAGAAATACAACGGCAAGTTTAATATGTGCTAAACAGAAAACCCAAAATTAATATATTTTAACAAAGCGTAAACATCCTTTATATTAGGTTGGATACCAATGGCTTCACCAACCACAAATTTTTAACTTCAGCATTTTCAATCAGTGTTTACCATTTAAAAACCTCAACTCATCAGCCAGGTTCCGCCTACCTTGTCTATATTGCAGAGTCTCATGAGAGTGTTTGTGATGAGGATAGGTCCGTTGGTGGACCACTCCCTGGGGTCAAAGTTGAACCGAAGGTCATCCAGACATTCAGTCAGGATCTGGTGACCAAACCCGGCGGGGTCAAAGTTGAGGACCCCTGACGCAATAGTCCTTTCGTCCTGCCATCCAGCGTAGTTGGATCCTAGACCGTCCAATGGCCTGCAATGGGGACAGAAATTGTAATTAATATAATTAAATTATGTGTACTGTAAGACCAAGGAAAGATAAAGTACCTCCACTTCTATCTCTTGAGTATTTTGTTTAGCGTATGTTGATTTTAGATTCTGAACTACTTACATCATCTGTAGCGATCAGGATTAGGCTTACCTATTTTCTATGGAGAAATAACATGTTAGGTCTTAAATTATTGACATTTTATGAATCAGTTGGTAATCTGTGGTTCAAGAGGATTTTTGTTAAAAACTGGTCAAATAAATATTTTGATTCGAATAAAATAAGATAACTATTTCATCAGATAAAACCAAATGGCTCAGCACACTACAGAGGAGCAAATGATCTAAACAAATCTTTTTTAAAGAGCCCTATTATCTTCTTATGATACTTCAAACTAGGTCCTCGAATGAAGAATCTATCTGAAAAACGTTAATGGAAAATACATGATATAAATGTAATATGCGAAACTATTTTCCCTAATAATATTATTTATAAAAGTAAAATGTGTCTTCAAATCTATTGGTGGAACATGAACATACAGGCTCCAATATACGCACTACGCAGAAATGTGACAGGAAATTAAGTTTCTCTATCAACATTGGATTCACCCAGAGTTGAGTCCTTGTATCCGTATATCAATACTTCTCTTACCTACTACTACTCTTACCTAATTTTAAAACATTTCAAAGAAACGCCTGCCAAACATTTTTATACCTCATAGGATTGTTCTAGGATGCATGTTGTAACAATCGAGTTTGATAATAGTGCAACCAATGTAAATTTAATAAATTGCATAAAAGAAAATAATACTGTTTGTTATTTCACTGAGTAGATTACTCGATAACTAGTGTTAGCGTGGAAATATTATGTAAAAAATTATAATTCACTGATTTGTATTTACAGTATTTTCAGTATAATATGTTTCAGTATATACTTTATGGGTTCGTGTAATGTAGTCGGTTGTAGAGAGAACTATTTTTTAAATTACACAATACCTTTCCTTTTCAGGACTGTATTGTTTAAGATTTCAAAATATTTCCAAATTGTGTGGTCAGTAATCCAATTTGGCCCCAGAATACTAAGAACATTTTCATGTTTGTTAACACTGTTAAAAAGTTCATTTTTTGTTTCAGAAGTATTATTATTGATTTGCATTTTATTTCTTGTTATATCTCCATTTTTGTCTAACAGTGGACTGCTAGTTACGAGGGACTCATTCCTTGAATCTATCAGACTAATATTTAGTAATTTGTTTTCTTTTTGTTGAGAGTTGTTAGTTGAAACTGGCTCACCATCAGTCTTAGGCCTAAACTTGTAGGAGTGTTTACTTTACCAATTTAGCCAGCAGGGGCCGGCTGGGGGAGGACTACTACTTCAATCAGCACCGGTGAAGGAGGAGGAGGTAATGAACAGAATACTTTGTCAAACAGCCAACATGCAGCACACCATACTGCCAAACCACCAAGCATACAAACGATAGAAAGACTCATATTACTCAAATCAAATCAATTTGGTGTCAAAGTTGGATGATTCGTCTCTATGGATACATATTTCATTTTTATTAGCGAATTTCCCATATAGGGAATAAGCTATTACCGTAGGTCTCATGGTAAGACCTAGACCCGGGACCGATTTACTTTTTCGTTTTGAGGTCCCCACAGGCCAAAAACAACATCCGTTCAAATTCATATATATATATATATATATATATATTTATATGTGTGTCCGTTAGCGCGATAACTTGAGCAAATATGATCCGATTTTGATGAAATTTGGTACAAACGTGTAAACTTACGTTTATTCGAACGAGTTCGCGAACCAGCATAATCGGACCATGGGAACAGGGGTTTATGGGGGGTTTTATGGGGTAAAAATGGGTTTTTCCCATTTTTAACCCCAAAAATAAAGATTTTTGCAATTTCTTTCTCAACCATTTTGTAGAGCTTAAAAAAAGGAACAATTTAGTATATTGAAGCGCTGTTTTATGCCTAACGGTCACAGGGAAAATTTAAAAAAAGTGTAATTTAAAATTCCCATGTTATTCTTATGGAGAAAATGAAAACTGTTGTAGTTTACTTGTTTATGGATATATGTTGATAAAATTTGGCAAATTTATTTATTTCATTCTATACTATTGACATATGGTCAAAAAACACTTTTTACCTTCCCCGTAGCAGCAAACCTAAGCACTGGTTAGGTTAAATCTAATGTTATTTAAATTGGGAATTAATATGACTTATTTATGGAAATATTTTAGTAAAAATGTAATCAGACAAGTTGAAATTCGCTTAGTCTGCAGGTTTGCTGCGGCGGGGGTATTTATAGTTTGTGATGGTTCAAGTCTTTAATTAAACTAGTGCACTTGTTGCTCAAATTCGAGCAATTGTCAAGTACCGGTATTATACAGAAGTTATTATTATAACTACAGTAATAACAGTCATAATTAATTTTCTATGAGTTTAAAAGTCCCAACTTATAGCTTATGTAACTAATTAAAATACGCTATTTAATAGTGCTTTGAAAATAAACGCTTCTTGTCAAAATATTTTAGCATTTTTTAGACTCGGCCTTATTTTTTTAGTGTTTTTTAATTTTTAATTTAATTTGTGTAATTTTGTAATACACAAAATAAATTGTGTAATTTAATTTTAATTGTTTTTTAATTACACAAACATTCTTTCTTTTTACAATTCTAAAACAATTAAAAAGCTTGCAAAAAAATAGCCGCACTTGCTTCAATTAAATTTTTTGTTTGCACAGAAATGTGTGGGAGCCATGACTGATCATGCAGAAATGCAACTTTGGTTAAAGGAGAGGAAAATTAAGAACTTTTCATGGAAGGTTAGAAAATCAGAAACTGTCAACATCAATCTATTTTATAATTTTTAAAATCTGAATATATTTTGGACTTCAAATTAAGAACCGCAATTACTTTGTTCCAAAATATTATCTTAAGAAAATATTATAGTATACACTTACAGCTTTATACTATTTTTTTATCCTTCAACTAGTGTTCTACGACACAGGATTAGGGTTTCTAATCTTATATTTATTTTAGGGACTTTCTTACCTATGAATGGCGTAAGGTTCCGGATCTCTAAATGTTGTACAAACTTGTTTTTTTTCGTTTTTTTTCGTGGTGAGTAATTTTGACAATAACCCCTCAACTAACATTTTTCTAGGAATTTATACACAACAACGACTATTTCTATTACTGACCTTACCATACTGATCACTTGTTAGAATACGCTGCAATAAGTTTTGCAATGTATCATCTAAAGTGCACACTACACGCTACAGAAGCTGGATACTTGGTCGTATATCGCAACCCAATACCACTTCTACTATAGCCCCTGTGTTGTGGTAAGTGGTCAAACGATAACTGTAGCGAAAGCCGCTATTGCTTTGTTGAGCACTGTTTAGCCGACTTCAAACAACTGTTAGAATGTGCGTTTGATGAAATACGTATGAATGTTTTGATGAGCAAGTAAATAGACGAATAACCTAGCTTGGAATATTATTATTTTATGTCTCAGCTTGACATCCTAAGACACCAGGTTCTAGCACGGAACTGTTTTACGCATTAATTCAGACTAGTTATAGAAGGTATCGGTTTACCTCATAGATAAAAACTATTGTATAAAAAAGTATTTTATATCTAAAAAAAACACACAACTACCAGAAAACATGGAATTTTTTAAGTTTTTAATTTTTTTCTATTGATTTTATTATTTTTAACTACTTTTTAAGGATTTTAACTACTTGAGCACCACTGTGTTTATTTAAATATGTACGACTGCTACTTATAATCATTCACCCGGGTTGTAGAAGGCTGACAAAAATGATCTAAGATGATTATTTCATCGAAAATGTGTGTGAACCTTCAACTTAAAATGTTTTTCTCTTCATGAAATATGTATGCTTACATCAAATTGTCGTGTGTTTCTTGTAGAGGAAAATCTAAATTAAAATTTAGTTCAAAAAAACTAAATTCCAGATTTTTGAACATTTTTTGTACCCGAACTCCCTTAAAAAAGTGTGATCGAATGATTTACGTTATCTTACTTTAGGTCTTGGGTTTTCTTAGATAATTAAACTCTAAATAAAAATATTTGTTACAAAAGTAAATTTTGCTAAACAGTTTATTTTAAAGTAATGTCATTATATTGTGTATGCACGATCATAAAATGTGTCTGATTTCTTAGCTGTGATACCTGCTCTAAATATATAACTTATGTTATGTTACATTAAAAACTGAAATGATATTTCACACAAAATCACGATAAGATTTACTACCCTATATGAAAATTTTGAAAACGTTGCAGTGTTGTAGACAACTTTTTGTTTAACTCAATAAACAAATGTTAAAATGTTACCCAAATTTACCACATATATGAAGTTAAATCTAAAATAATATAGCAAACTATTTAAAATTGCAAACCTTGAAGTTTAAACGTTAACTTTTAATATTTCATTAGCCCTACGATTTAAAGTTGAAAAAGTTGTTAAACAATTTCCTATTTTTTACTAAGTAGACTCTTAAGCACCTTTGCTCAGGGGGATAATTCACTTATCTTAAACGTTAAGCTGGTCAGAATCGTGTGAATTCTCATTGTTATTCCACTTCAGGAGCCGGCGCTTGTTAAGGGATTAAGCTCAAGGATTAAGTTCTGAGAAAAACACCCGAAGCTTAGCCTATGCTCTGCGAAAGAACATTTTGCAGCTAAACTTACATGCGAAGCTTTTAGTGAATGTTTGTGTTAAAGATTAGATTTAAAATGGTGATGTACGTGGGGAATTTTCAGTTGTCGAATTGTTTTATGGTAAAACTATTTTTACAACTGAGTACTTTTTTAACTTGTATATGTTGGTTGGTAGGATTAGAAATTTACTTATAAAATTATTACAAATTATAAATATTTTAAGTAATAGCATTTATTATGGAAAACTAAAGCAAATACTACCATTGAGTTATATGTTTTACTATTTACTATCTCTCCAAATAAAATATACTCTTTATTTAATAAAACCTCAATAAACTTACTTACGTAAATTAATTTGGTTTTTTGCCAACCAACCACAATTGCACGTGTCGTCCAATGTGTGTTACTTTTAAGCGTGTCAATTTTTATTTATTTACTTCAATATGTTTACAGGGAAATGTTAATTTACATAATTAGTTGGAGGGAACTTGATAAATATTATAAAGTTTAAAAATGATTTTTCAGTGATGTCAACAATACCTCGGTTTACTCTTTTTTTTCTTTTTTATCAAAAACAAATTAATTTTGTATTTTTATGCAGGGTGTTTCAGAATTCGTGTCGGATATTTTAGGGTATTATTCCTGGGTAAGAAACATATCCAGGTATCATATTTAAATTGTCCGGAAGTCCTTAGTTATTAACACAGTTGTTGTTTTCTAAAAAGTTATAAGAGATACGAAATTGAAACTTTGTACACACATTTATGACAACTAGACAAAGCTAAAACAAAATTATGACAGTTTTTAAAATTCGTAAAACAAAATGGCGGTCTTTACAAATTTTATTTCTTAAATAACTTAAAAACCGTTTATTTTACAACGATTTTACAAGTAAAACTTTTTTAAAGCAATTTAATTACAAATCGATCGACTAGTATTGTTGTCTAGTTGTCATAAATGTTTATGCAAAGTTCCAATTTCGTATCTATTACCACTTTTCAGAAAACAATTAATAAGTAAAAAAACACAAAATGTTGGCTGTGTGAGCAACTAAGGAATTCCGGACAATTTAAATATGATATTTGGATATGTTTCTTACCCAGGAATAATACTCCCGACACGAATTCTGAAACACCCTGTATGTATTAACTGTGTCAGTACGTGCTACGATGACTGAGCTGGGTCTAGTTTATCCCCAACAAGCAAAATACTCAATATTTCTTACTCCAACATGTAAAAAAACTACAAAAACAACGACGTTTTTACATCTTGTGACTTGGCAGTAAGTCTTCTTCCCTACAGTAAAAAGTAATAGTATTAGTTTTTCTGGGTTTAATAGCACGACCTAGAATCTCACTATGTTGTCACCCACTTTCCTGTTTGGGTGTTTAAGATAGACTTAGAGTTGTAAACACTGAAGTAATCATAGGTTAGTTGAGGTGATAAAGATACGAATGAGGATTGCGTTCTCTCTTTATTAAACTGTCAGAGCTAGGTGCACAACATCGTTGGCATAGTTGATAACTTAGTTTTTAGCGCATCATTGTTATCAAAAGAGTATTAGTGTGCCAAGGGAAGAAGCTTGCAAATAATGTAAAAGGTGTCAATGAAGACAATCTAAGTTGGCTAATTTGAATCCGTATTTTATAATTTTTTTACAAATATTATTAAATATGTTTTCAAATACTGTTGTCCTGATTCAACCGTTTGATGCGTTCCACCAATGAATATCATGGGCTTGTGTAACTAGCATATATAATCATAAAAAATATATGTCATGCCTTGTATCAGTATGATTTCCATCCCCAATTCCATTTTACAGACAACGCTAAAACCACTGAACAAGCTGCAATTTTGCACAGAGATAAATCATAATTGTAGCCAACACATATTCAAGTCCATTCCTTTAACATTTTCTTCCTTTGGATGTCCAAAGCTGGTGGAGCTATTGGAATCTTTGTTGATTAGGCTCCATAAGAACAATAAACTCACAACTGGTTAATTATTTGACCCTATTGATCACAAACTGACTGCAGTGAACTTTATAAAACTGAAATTTGCATTAGCTTAGTTTTGTTTTTGTAGCAAAAGGTGGGGTTTAAAGGTATGTTTTATTTGTAATTTTTTCTTTGACACATCAAGTACTACTAACAAAGTGCATATTTTTAGCAAATGTATTAGTAAAGTAGGAGTATAGAACAGATTGAGATTATATGTGTATAATTGTTACCAAAATTAGCTGTTTCTTCATCCGGGGTCTTTAATTCACTCTTTAACTTTATCCATGTTTTGGGTTTTTATCCATATGACTTTGGAAAGGACATGTGGGCCCAGTCGTTGAGAACTATCAAAATATTACCAATATTTCTCAGGATCAACCCTGCGATCTTTTGACTGTAAGGCAAACACCTTGCAACCGCTCAGCTACCCAGTACATTAAAACACTTTGTTTTCTTCTGCAACATCATCCCGTTGCAAATCACATGTAAAGCAACTATACTCTGTTCACAAAATTAAGGCGGTTTTAGGTTAAGAAATCTATCCCCTTCAACAACTGAGGATTGCCATAACGTCAGTCATCTGCAAAATTTAAGGAAAAAGTGGTGGGGGAACTTCCCCTCAAACCGCCTACATTTTGTGAAAGGATTATAGTCATGCATAAATAATAAATATCTCCTTACCTAATACTAACTACGTCAATGTCCATGTAGGTTCCCCCGTACTTCCACAGAGTAAGGAGACGAACCACGTCACTGACGTGTTCTATAGGATGTCTGCTCTCCTCAAATCTCCCGCCAAAGTACAACTCCTCGACGTTCGTGCGCAAGAAGAACTCCTCCATGTCGAGATAGACCATGTGAACGTTAGGGTAGGACATGAGCTCCTGGACGAACCTGGGTGACTTTTGGTAAAAGTCGTCGTCTAGAGGACATGTGTGCAGGATGTAGATGGGTCTGGAGGGGTTGAGCTTGGCTGTAGACTCGACTGAGCAGATCTGGCGAGCGTTCATCACTACCTGAACAATTAAGTAGGAAAAGAGAATTGTAGAATAACTATGATTAATTAATACACTTTAGACGTGAGTTACAGTGGTTTTGATGAGGTGGATGAGCTAAACTAAAGTTCAAAATTATTCCTACTACATAACATTCTTATGGCTTTTTGTGATGAAAGATCTCCAATACGAAAATAGTTTTCTTCAAATGTTGTATTTTTTCAGCCTACTAATGTGGGTTGGTTCAAAGCCCCAAGGGTACAAGGGCATAATCACTTGGCGATTAGGCAGGTCCCAATCTCTTTCAAGAACAGAAGTCCCACACTTTGAATCTAGATCAATCGAGGTCAATTTTAAATTATGCTATTTAGAAGTCTTTAGTATCATTTACCCTGTATCTGCAATGAATTTTTATAGAAATTTTGGGTAAGTATTTGAGTAGCTGAAATTTACAAAATGGGTACCTAGGACTCTGATCATTGGGCTTTTATGACTATCCATGTGACATTGGTTCCAATAAAATGAAGATAAATCTTATCTTCTAGGAATTCTTGTTTGTATAACTGACACAAGATCAAGCACGTTATTAACATTGAAATTCATTTATCAACAGCATTATCTCTTACAACAAAACTCACCCCGGAATACGAAGCGTACTTCTTCATCTGCTCGGTTGTCCCGCACCGAGTCTCGATGAAGAAGACATTCAGCGAGCTCGGTTTGATGTCTTCCAGCTTTGTCAACCTAGGATGTCTTGGAGGTCGTTGTTCATAGTTCAGATGCACATCGTACTCCTCACCGTTGGACCTAGTGATCCTTACAGGTCCAGAGGAACGATTCTCCAGGAGTTCCCGTACGGAGATTTCCACCCGTGATCCTCCGGAGTCTATGGTCTGTAGGATGTCCAGGTCAGACGTGATGGTCACGTTGTACGGGCTCCTCTCGTCCATCAAGATGCTGACGTGACCTCCTGACCTGGTGGGTTTCCGTCGGATAGGGGAGCTGTGGTGGAAGTGGTGGAAGAGTATGATGACTAACGTGAGAGCTACTACCACCAATATGACGCAGACTCTGGTTGGCTTGAGTCGTGGTGTGTTTTTATGAGTTGGCTCCTCTACTTGAAGAGTTGTTCGTTCTGTAAATGGTATCCTGGGTACTTCTGCATCCATTTTTATGGTAACCCTGAAAAGTTTGAATTGAGTAGTGGGTGTAATAAAATGATTGATTAAAATTATATTTTTTATAGAACGGTAAATTTTACTTTCAATATAAACTTTGTCAAAGTGTGTATGAATTTCATATATGTTTTAGGAATTTTGTGGATCTCGGGTCTAGCTTTGCTAGAGTTAAAAGTCGATTAATTATACGGGTTTGTTGTTGTTTCCAAACAAACAGAAATTGTCAAATCTGGTACAGACTCTAACTTGTGAATGAACAGTTTGATCAAGGCCCCACTAGAAAAACTTACTTTTAATGCTAAGTTTAATCTTTGACTATTGATATAGCTTTAGTATTCAAAAAACAATGATTTTATCCACAAATCGTGAAAATTTTGGACAATCCCTCTTATAAGAGCAGACACCATAGATTTCTTGCGCAAGGGTTTTTATCCAAAAGTAATAAACTATTCCGAAATAAAATTGTCATACAGCTTTACAAATGCAAATGTATTATCAAACAAGTACAAAACTGAGTGGGTAGCTAATTCAAATATGCTCAAACATTTCCATGGCATGTAAAAAAGTGTGAAAATCCATGTCCACCGTAGCCAAAATAACGTTATGCTCAGTGGGTGCTTATTAGAAAAATACGCAAATGGCTTTTACTGTGTCCTGTTTCAATTTTGCATCAACAACTCGTAGTTGCAAATATGATCTTTAAAAACTGATTTATATTAATTCATTTTCTACCTTGCATATTTACATCGTACATAAAATAGTTAAATAAACTATCTCTTCCAAGACATTACATGACAAGGACCAATTCCTTGTCAATGTTAATGTCTTAAACACGCCGTCATTTTGAAAATTCAAGGCCAGAGCACTTAGAGTGATTAACGTCGTTAAAGTAAACAGTGTTTTACATGTTTGAGTACAAACAATAGTGTGTAGAATCCCTAGTCCGTGGTAGAATATATGATCCGCGGCCACGGCGCATATGCTCTACATCTTCAACGAAGATAGACAAGACACTTATGCGTTTATGACAATGTTTATCTATGTACGTGTTTGTGAATGCATTGTGAGAATGTATAGTTAACTCAAGTTTATCATTTCCTCTTTGGTGCCTTGAATCTTATCAGTATCCGTTCAGCTTAGAAGGAAGAGTGTTCCGTAGACTGTAACAGTGGAGGATTGGTGAACTAATGTGTAGATTTTTATTTTTATTAAATAGAAAAAAGTTATGTCACTTACACGGCATTAAGGTAATTATTTCTGATTTAGTTTGACAAATAGTGTATATTGTTTAAGACTAAATTACTTACGTAATTCCCGTCACAGCTCAATAAAATATGTCTATTCAGGACATGTTTCGAATAGACATATTTTATTGAGCTGTGACGGGAATTACGTAAGTAATTTAGTCTTACATCATGTCCAACAGCTCAGGGGCTACACACATGGATTTAAATTGTATATTTTTTAAATTATGAAACAGATTACTAATGCACCAACTCAATTCAGAGTACAATGTATAAAGTTTTAATGAAACGTTTCAATTTTATCTCCTATTTCCTGCTCACGATTATCAGAAATTCTTATTTCAAATCTTTTTACAAAAGTTACAACAAAAACTTCAATATTAATTTATTTATTGTTACTTTAGTGGTTTGTTTTAGTAATAATAACACACCTAATAGAGACACAAATACTGTATCAAAGATTGTGAAAGGCTTTGTATTGTTAAGTTTTAATATTGCCGAATATTCTTATGTCTTTTCCAGCCTATAATCTCTGTGCTAAATTTCATTCATTTTTGTTTTGTTCTAATGTGATCTAGAATCTAACGCATACCAACTTTCAAACTTATTATTACAAAATATGTATTTAAAATTATCTTTAATTTACAATCTTCTAATCTGCCCTGATAAAGTAAATACAATCGACACTAACATAAATACAAACTTGTAAAGTTTCAAACCCTTCGTGTTTCCGATAAAGTCAAATACACAAGAATAAAGTTTGTCGCAAGACTTGAGGGAATTCCTGAAACGTTTTGGATTGGCTAAAGTTGTGATTTTAAAACTTGAAATGGCAGTTAGACTCCTAGCAGTTGGCGCGACTTGGCCCGCTTTAGGCAAATTTAACACTCGACTTGTTCAAAAGACGCTCTCTGATATAACTTGAATGTTTTTCCACTTCCTTCTCAGAATTGCCGTTTACCTTACTTCTTAAATAATCATTTATGTAGTTCAGCGCCTTTCTGTTTACCCATGTTTTATTTACAGAGTTCGGCACATTAATGATGATAAATTAAGTTCATGCGTGGAAAAAGTGTGTGCTTTCAGGATATATATTTTTTTCTAGGACGCTAGGCACGAGCCTGGGATTGTTTTTCACATTACTTCAGGCTAGACCTAGGGGTTGCGGCATTATCACTTAGATAAAATCCATTGGTGACTTGGCTGGGATCGATCCCGGGACCTCAGGGACTGAAGTCACGCGCTCTAACCACTACACCAGCTCGCTCCCCGCTTTCAGGATATGCTGCATAATCTAAATAGTTTTATGTACAAATTCAATTAACCGTTGATAGATTGATAACGAAATTAGGTGTCACAAAATGTAGGTATCAGTTTAATGATTGCACATGATATACTGTAGTATTTATATGAGTTACTAGAATTGATTTGGCTATAATTTTCGAGCATCGCGTAAAATATTCACTGTATAACATATTTTTTGTAAGTCTATTTTTTCTAAATCCATCCATTTGCGCAAACATTTATGTTTACAACCATCAACTAGAAGCAACGGGATCAAGCGCAGGAATTCTTATCGGATGACTCAAAATTACCTTGCGATACCTGGCATTGCTATTATTGCATAGCTGTTTTGAAAATTACTGTGAGGACAAAATTCGTTATAGGAACAGCAAGCAAAATCTGACGCTAAATGTTTTGGTTTGTAGTATTTCAACCCCTTCCTCGAATAACATTGCAAAATCGAACAAGTTATCGACCTGAACTGAACAAGTTGTTCACAACAATGTTGCAATTGGTAAACAAATTTTCACTACCTGCCAATTTTTATCCAAACACTAAAACACATTAAATCTCCCTTTCAAATGTGTTTCTAATTGAAAACCACGATGAAAAGTGAAAGTAAAGGTGCGCAAATATGGATTACATACAAAGCATTGTGTAAGAGTTATAAGTAGTATCTGTATTGATCCTCAACAAGCTAAATTAATGAGACAAATATGCTTTGGCACGTATAACTGAACAACAATGGTAACAAATCAGTTATGTTCCAGTAAGCATGCAATCTATCTCATAAACGTCACCGCACTATGAGCTAAACTCAATGAAACTTTTAATGTACTATGACAGTTTGGTAATAGTATTTTCAATATTTCTGCTCAAACATATTTAGTTGTTTGTTGGAAGTTAATGTTGTGTAAAGGTTTATTGCGGGTATTTTCCATCACAATGGTATACAACTTTTCGTGATCTGCAATCTGATCCCGTCCTCAGGTGAAAAACTCATTGGTGGTGTCATTGCGAGATGTGCGATTAGTGTTCCATTATTGGTGAGCTATTTACCTTAAATCTTATTTTTCATTTTCCTATGGATTTGTCGTGTTTTGTGATTGGTTATTTTTCATGTTGTATCATGACTTGACTGCTACTCTCTGGAGTGTATTCCAACTTAGGTTGGGTGTATTGTTAGTTGTAATGTGATGGTTCAGTTTTTTCACCTGAGAACGGGATCAGATTTCAGGTCCCGAAACGTTGTGTATTGTTTTTTACCATTGTGACGGAAAATTTTCACTATAAGCCTTTAAACAACATATATTGGACTCGTAGCTTCAGTCTTTATGGGGAGAACTCTTGGAATTCCAAATTATCTTGCAAAGAATTTTAAATTTTTGAATGAAAGAGGCGCAAGGGATACCCGCTCTGGCTCGTCCACGCTTCGCATTCCTCATCACAGAACAACTGTTTACAACAAATCATTTTTAGTAACAGCATGCCGCCTATGGAACTCCATACCTTTTCACATTAAATCCATAGAAAACCGATCGCGACTGATGGTGACGCTGAAAGGATATTACCTTGACCGGATGGCCGTGGCTTGGCGGGATGGCGTGCGTTAGGCCTAGATGCAACAGAGGGTGTACGTGTGTGTGTGTGTGTGTGTGTGTGTGTGTTAATGTATGTTAGGGAAGATTGAATAAATTATGACATTTTATAACTTGTTTTGTTACAAACTGTGTTGTATTTTTTGTTATTATTTTGTTGTTATCATTAGTTTTTTAGAGGTTAACTGTAAGAAAGGACCATGAGGTCCTAAGTTCGCCTAAGGATTTTCATTTCATTTCATTTCATTTCAACTAGAAATAACATTCGAATGTAAAGTTGTGTCCAGATTTATTTTGACAGTTTGTTTAGTCTAGTTTTAATGGGACAGTAAGTTGTCCAAATTAAAAGGACAACTTATTGGAAACTACATTATCTTCTATGTCACATCTAATACCACAGAAAATGCAAAACAATTTAGGACATAAATATCATTTTAATCGTAGTACACTCTCTAAGTGGCTTATTCAACTACAGTATGTTATCTTTTTTAGATATTTTGGCTGAAGCTGGCCTATGCAAAGTGCAATGCTTCAACCGATCACGCTCTAAAACGGGGTATAATAGGCGCGTTATTTTAGCTAGTATCGACCTTGATGGTACAGGTAGTACAAGTAATTGACTAGCTTAGTGGTTACAGCGATCGTTTCGTAATTAGTAGGTAGTGAGTTCGATGCTGACAAAAGGCACCAGCAATTTGACGTTTCAAAAATGGATTCGGTTTGTTGTCGCTGTCCTTTGCCTAAACTTTCAAAATCACATTAATTTTTAGAAATACAATTAACTATGATTTCAATAGTCAATGTTTGACTCTCATTAGTCGATAAATAACGCATGAGTTGCTATTGTGCAGAACTTTGCTCTAAT